GGAGTACAAACAAGGACATGGATCCTCTCCGGATCCATGCATTCTAATCCTAAGAATCTATCAATTCGGATCATTGAAATTTGATCTAACGGTTAAAGTTATTATAACTTTTTAAAGTGGATCCCTGTTTGTAATCGTTGAATCAAATTTTAATGGCCCAAATTGGTGAATCCTTAGGATTAGGATGCATGGATCCGAAGAGGATCCATGTCCTACAAACAAGGAGGACATATAGGCAAAACCTAGGAAAAAAATGTTGCAATAAAAAGAGTACACATACAAGGACAAAGCTAAAAACTTCTTATAGTGGAAGCGACTTTAACCTTCAGTCATATTTGAGAGAACAAAATTCATAATAGTAGAATTTCTTCTATAGTTTTATTGTTTTTCTTTTTCTTCTTAAATTTTGTTCAGCCAACTTGTAAAGATCTTTTCAAGCTTATTATGCATATTATTTAAAAATTTTAATTAATCGGTTAAAGTACTTTAAATATCATAAATTTAAGTTCTATAAGCATGGCGATTTTTTTTCTCTACACAAAACTTCAATGGGGACAACTGCTCCAGGTGGGCCTTATCTGCTCCCGTCATTGTCCACGTAATATTTGTTTGTAGCAGCAATAGTAATATAACAATTTACATTATGATGCATGTAATTAAAATAAGGGAAATTAACGAAAAGTTTAAATTTTTTTTAATAAAAAATTATTTTTAAAGGTATAGTAAATAATACCAAAAAAAATGAAAATGTGATTTTTTTTTAAAATGAATAGTACTACGAATGTTTTGTTCAACCTTCTATTAAAATATGATTAGCTGAAGCTATAATGTGATTTGGAAACTTGGACCGTAACAGTGAAATGGATAAGACCCAAATGGGTGTGTTAGCTCAACTACCCTGGCTTTGTCAACAGGAATCAGTCCCCACTGCTGGGCACTAGAAAGTGATGGCTCATGTATAACCATAATTATATAGATCACCAACAAAATTGGTCCGCCTATATACATGTTCGTTAGGAGATAATATATTTGGGGAGACATTTTTAACCTGTATATATTCATGAACCTAGCTGGAATACATACATTTATTTAATTTACTCATTGTTTAACGGTTATATATTAAATTCACATCCTAAGAATATAATTAATTTGACTAAAAAATATTACTCTACATTCATGTATGTTCAACTAAATTATATTTAGTAACATACCAGAATAAAGAAAGTCTTTTTTATTGAATTCTACATAATAACCAACCGATCGATATAATTTAATTAGCAGTTTTTTTTATTATATATAACGATATTCTATACTAAAAGAGAAAGAAATTTGACCTAAGTCACACAATGAATCAACATAATAGATTAGTAACGAATTCATCATTTATCAACATCGACTATAAAACATCTCACTTACTGAAGAAGATAAATGTATTGTAGTACAAATGGCAATCTAATTAGCGGCTTATATAAGCTTCCAATTTCAATACAATTGGGTCCTCAGTTTGGTTTCTAGTCGCATCAATCATTTGAAGTTGTTTTTATTAAAATATTATACGGGTAATATGAGCCTTCAGATGAGCTGCATCAACCCTAATTCGTGTGTGTAAATTTGAGGAATGCAGCAGATGAGCCTTCAGATTCACTCAGGTCACTCTGAAGGGACGCATAATTTGCACAACTCTAGGCAAATTCTAGGGTTTGATTTCTTACATAAAATAATTCAACGTGGGGGTGAATTTGGGAAACATAAAGTTTCGACAGCTTCGAACCCAAACAACCGAGTCTTCACGGCGACAGTATAGATCCTGTTTCACTGCATGGCTGCTAGTATCTGCAACTTCCCATGCATCAACCATGTCTAATTTATTCCACAAATGTGTACGTACATTCAGACAGAGTGGTGTTAGAGAGATCATCTTAGACTATATTTGTAGATCACATCATGCGACAATTGACAAAATATATACCTAAATCAACCATCCGCCACATTATTTTATTTAAAAAATATAGTCTAAAAAGATAATTTCTCTAACATTTTTCATCCAAATATAACCTAATTCCGCTATATATATATGCCCTTTGACCAAAAAATGCTATATGTGCTCCCTGAATTGTAAATAGTTGGAACCACAAAATTTTGTTAATTATAATTAGCTCCATGCACAATGTGCATGCTTTATGGGATCCCCATCTATTAGGTTTCGAGAATTGAGCAAGCATTAAAGTCACGAAGGACTCGGGACACAGGTTCCTAGTTGTTTAGGCTTCACTTGTTGGAGAGATATTTCAAGGTATTTAAAATACGAGTCCATCGGTACATTGTGTAAGTATTATAATACAAGTGAAAGGATGTTGAAAAATATATTCTTTCTCCGATTATATCATGATATGTTGGCTACCGACTTGTGCTTTAGGTACAGAAAAAAATCTCTCCACCCATTGAGTTGAGACACAACTTGAGTCGAGGCATGTCTAGGAAATTCCTAATTGTTTAGGCTTCACTTGTTGGAGAGATTTTTCAAGGTATTCAAAATACGAATCGATCGGTACACTGCGTATGTGTTATAATACAAGTGAAAGGACGTTGAAAAATATATTCTTTCTCCGATTATATCATGATATGTTGGCTACCGGCTTATGCTTCAGGTCAAGAAAAGAATCTTTCCACCCATTGAGTTGAGACACAACTTGAGTAGAGGCATGTCTAGGAAATTCCAATCCTTGGAACTTCTAGAAAATGTAAATGTTATGTAAATGGATGTACATATAATTTTAACATTTCAAAATTGCATCTTTTCATTGGCTATGCTTTAAAGGAAATGGATGTAATATAATTTTTGCATTTTAAATTTGCATTTCTTAATAAAATTGCCTAAGAGAGTTTTCTAGTTAACAAGAGATGTATATGTGTAACACATTTTGATAATACATTTCTAAATGATAATGTGACAACAAATTTAACTCGCGCGTTAAATATTTTAGAAACAACCATTTTTAATAACCCCGACAATACAAATATCATAAATAATTTGTCGGTTTAATTTTATATTTTACCACACTAATAGAGGAGTTTCGTTCTCTTTGTCAGCTAGTAACTGATGGATTTTTGTCACTAATCTTTGAACTTGATATCAAATGTTGAGATTAAAGCATTAAAAACACATCCAGTTATTATCTATTCTTGATATTAAATTTAACGATAAGTGATAATGAGTTCCTTAGTCAGCTAGTGACCATAAGAACATTTCTAATTGTTATATAACTCGTTTGGAATTGCTTTTAAAATGAATGAAAGTGTTTTTTTGTAAAAATGTTTTTGGAACTAATTTTTAATAAAAATGCAAGTGAACCATATGAACATTTATAATTGTTATAGGCTCGTTTGTAATTGTTTTTAAAATGAAGGAAAATGTTTTTTGTGAAAACATTATTATAACTAATCTTTAGTAAAAATGCAAGTGAACCTAAAAAAACACTTGAACTGTTTCTTATAAGAAACACATATCACGCGCCTCTTGCATGAAGTACTTTAAATAATTTTAAAACTAAAAAATATTCTCTAAAAACGTTTTTAATTATTAACATACTACTCATAGTCTCGTATATACCAGCTTTCATTCTTTGATGTTGTAACTATTTGTTGTCGTGTTTTTCTTAGTAGCAATTAATTACTGCAACCACTACCATATTTCCAGTGTGCTACTTTTAGACACAACCACTTGTTTTTGGAATTCAGTCAAAGAACCTCACTACTGTCATCCAACTACAGGTTATTCTTCTAAGAAGATTCTCCATTATTCCTCCTCCATCAATATTTGTGTTCACATTGACAGATTAAGCACTACCTAATCATCAGTTTAATTCATACGGGAAGCATATTTGCTTTAGTTAATGTGACTACACCCACTTTTATTTATTTATTTTTTCTTTTTCTTTTGATACGTCAATAAGGTTGGCGACCTCTTAGCGGTCTAGTGGAATTGCATTCGAATTCTATGTCAGGTTTGCTCTTTGTTCTTGAGTTTGAAGCACGAAATTAACAAAAACACTGGTGATTCTATGGTTGAAAGATTTGAGAGGACGTATGTCATTTGACTGTGATCAATAATGGACTGCAATACCTTTAGCCTTTCCGGACCCTACTAAAGATTAGTCATACCCTCTAGGGTGCGAAATACATTTGACTTCGACAAATGAACATTTTATTTACCGTAATACTAAGCAGCACCAACAAGTAGTGTGGATTCTATTAGTGACTTCAACCAAAACTTTTTGCCATGCTTGCTGCTGAAGCTGGCTTTATCCTTCACAAACATCACACATTGTTCGTCTCAAATTCCAATTAGTAGTCCTTGATGCTCAACGAATTCCAAACAGTAGTCCTTGATGCTTAATTGGCTTTACCAAAAAGCATCAATTCCCATCCTCCACAAACATCACACTGTTTTCCGAGCCAGGAAAATGCGGAAAATTCTCCCTATTCGATTCCCATTCCTAATTTCCTTTCCTCCTCTGTTCCAAATCCAATGTCCCTCCCAAAACAAAATTAAGAAATCACATAAATAAAACCAAACTAGCCAATAAATCGCTCCATCTTCTAGAAAAAATACAATGGCCCCATCAATCGCCTATCAATCTTGGTCTTCCACATTTAAATACAATTTGCCAAGTTCCAACTTAATACTAAATGTTGTCACTCTCTCCTAAAAAAGCCAAGTCGAATCACGTTTCATTTGCTCCACTTAGTGATAATATCCTCCCAAATAATATCTTCGATACATTGAAAATCAAATCTCACGCTCACAGTTTCGATTCACCAATCAAAAACCTTCTCTCTCACAATATCCCAAAAGATGATGAAATGAAGCACCTTCCATGTGAAGCCCTTTGAAAATTAAATCTCCCTCTCAATCTCTCAAACCGTTACCCGTGCTTACAACATAAATTTCATTTCCACACTCTTCAATCCTTAATTTCTGTATCCAAAAATTTATTAGGATGACGCAATTAGCAGCTGTAAAGCCCGTTTTAGTATTATTTTCCGCACTGTTATGCGTTTTAACAGTCGCTGCCTCTTTGGCCGGCGATACTCAGCACTTGATTCAGGTCAAGGCCCAACTGTCCGACCCGGACGGAAATCTCGACGACTGGGTCCCGAGCACGGATCCCAATCCATGCAACTGGACGGGAATTACATGCGACCCGAAGAACCACTCTGTTCTTGCTGTAAACTTATCCGGGTTTAACGTTTCCGGCGGGTTTCCGTTCGGGTTTTGTAGCATTCGGACCCTCCAGAACCTCTCTCTGTCCGTCAACTCCATCAGCGGCTCTCTCCAAACCCACACCCTCTCTCTCTGCTCCCACCTCCATGTTCTCGAGCTCGACAACAACCTCTTCGTCGGATCATTGCCGGAGTTTCAGCCGGAGTTCACCGACTTGCGAATCCTGAACTTTATGGACAACAACTTCACAGGCGACATTCCGGCGAGTTTCGGCCGGTTTCCCGCTTTGCAAGTCCTGATGCTCTCCGGGAACTTTCTCACCGGCGCAATCCCCAAGTTCTTGGGCAATCTCAGTGAGTTGACTCGTTTGGAACTCGCTATCAATCCATTGATGTCCGGCGAGCTACCTTCCGAAATCGGAAACTTGACGAAGCTCCAGAACCTCTTCGCCCCCCAATGCAACCTCAGAGGCCGTATACCGGACTCCATCGGAAACCTGGCGTCCCTTACGAACCTCGATTTGTCCACGAATTCGCTATCCGGTCCGATTCCGGCGAGCATCGGCGGATTGGCAAGCGTGACGCAGATCGAGCTATTCACAAACCAGATGTTCGGCGAACTGCCCGAGAGCATCGGAAACCTGACTTTTCTCCAGAACTTAGATCTCTCTATGAACGGCTTCACCGGAAAATTCCCAGAAAAAATTGCACGATTGCATTTGGAGTCTCTGAATCTCAACGACAATTTCTTCTCCGGCGAGCTTCCTCCGATCTTGGCTTCCAATCCCAACTTGCACCAGTTCAAAATCTTCAACAACAGCTTCTCCGGCTCCCTCCCGGAAAATCTCGGTCGATATTCCGATTTGGCAGACCTCGACGTTTCGACGAACAAGTTTTCCGGCGAGCTGCCGAAGTTCCTCTGTTACCGGAAAAAGCTCTGGAATTTGATAGTTATGGAGAACCAGTTCTCCGGAAATTTACCCGATACGTTAAACGAGTGTCATTCTCTGGAATACGTTCGAATCGAATTCAATGAGCTCGACGGCGTCGTTTCGGGCAAGTTTTGGGGTCTGCCTGGGCTATATTTCCTGACAATGAATAACAACAGATTCAACGGCAGCGTCTCTCCGTCCATTTCGGCGGCTACGAGATTCTCGACGCTTACGATCTCCAGCAATGAATTTTCCGGCGTGCTTCCGTCGGCGATTTGTAAGCTTACGAACCTCTCGACCCTCGACGTGAGCGACAACCAATTCTCCGGTGACTTGCCGTCGTGCATGACGGAGCTGAATATTTTGCAGAAGCTAAAAATGGAGGAGAACATGTTCTCCGGTCAGATTCCGAGTTCAGTGAGTTCGTGGACCCAGTTGACGGAGCTGAACCTATCTCACAATCGCTTATCGGGTCGGATCCCACCGCAACTCGGCTACTTGCCGGTATTGAATTACTTGGATCTCTCGGTAAATTTACTCACCGGTGAGCTTCCGGCCGAGTTGACCAAGCTCAGGCTCAATCAGTTCAACGTCTCGAATAATAAACTGTACGGAAAAATACCTACCGGTTTCGATTACAGTCCCTTCAGCTCGGGTCTACTGGGTAACCCGAACTTGTGCAGTCCGGATCTGGAGCACTTCCCAACCTGCTCCAAACCCAAATCTCCTACCCCAATTTTGATAGTCATTTTATCCGTGTGCGTTGTGCTGGTCGTCGGGTCGGTTCTTTCGTTTTTGAAATATCGATCCAAAGCACTTGGCGGTAAAACGAAGCGGCTCTACAGGCTCACCACATTCCAACGGGTCGGGTTTAACGAAGAGGAGGTGATGCAATCATTAACGGAGGAGAATCTGATTGCAACGGGTGGGTCGGGTCATGTGTACAAAGTGCAACTGAAGACGGGGCAGACCGTGGCGGTTAAGAAGCTATGGGGCGGGGCAAGAAAACCCGAAACTGAATCCGTTTTTAGCTCCGAGGTGGAGACGTTGGGTCGGATCCGACATGGCAATATTGTAAAATTGGTGTTTTGTTGTAGTGGTGAGGAAAGTAGAATTTTGGGTTATGAGTACATGGAGAATGGAAGCTTAGGTGATTGTTTGCATGGAGAAAAAGTTGGGCCTTTGGAGGATTGGGCCAAAAGATTCAACATCGCCGTCGGGTCGGCCTACGGCTTGGCCTACCTCCACCACGACTGTGCTCCGCCCATCGTTCACCGGGACGTGAAGAGTAATAACATACTGTTGGACGAGGACTGGACCCCACGGGTGGCGGATTTCGGACTCGCCAAGACTTTGCAGCGTGACATGGCGGCCGGATGTGGTACCATGTCACAGATTGCTGGGTCCTACGGTTATATCGCTCCGGGTGAGTTTTTTCAAAAAAAAAAAAAAAAAAAAAAAAATGGTTGTCTTCTAAATTTTGCTTTTTGGGTGTCTTGATAGATTCTCCGGGTGTCTCACTATCCATGATGGCAACCCAAATAGATTTTTAGGTTAAAATTGAACTTAGAAAAAGTATGGTTAGATTGGCTGAATTTGAATGTCACACTCCAAGTTCCTGTGGCCGTCGTCTTCATTAGTGTATAGTCTTACTTGTGCATATATACGAGTGGCTAAATTGCTAGGGGGAGCCAACAAACACTATCTTCCAACGTGGATATACAGCTTTGGTTGGTGACTGCCCTTTGCTGACTTATAGTCAACTATAATATATTTCTAAATCACTGTGTTAGTTTTCACGCTATGTTTTATGGCACTGGATTTGGGATCTCGGGAGTACGGTTGAATGCTTTTAATCCACCGAGTTACGGTTAATTGCTTCTCAACTAGCATGATCATGACATGGTTTTTGTTTTTTCGACAAAAAAAATGTTTTTACTTTGCATTTATTCTTACTATATGATTTCATATGAATTGTTAACGTGAACAATTGTTAACTGTTGATGTATTTTAGTTTGTTCCGTTTAGTTCACGATCACATATGTTTTGGTTTAAAGGAACATTATATGAACATGTATACTAAATCACATTGTGTTTGGTTTGCAGAGTACGCATACACTCTTAAAGTCACTGAGAAGAGTGATGTCTACAGCTTCGGTGTGGTGCTGTTGGAACTGATAACCGGCAAGAGTCCGAATGACGCGTCCTTTGGTGAGAACACAGACATTGTCAAGTGGGTTAGAGAGGCTGCCATGTCTACTCCTGAAGGAGAAGAAGAAGGCAGCAATGACGGCGGTTTCTGCGGCGCCAATCTCTGCCAGATAATCGATCCAAGGATTGATCCGTCGACATGCAATTACGAAGAGATTGAGAAGGTTTTGAAGGTGGCTCTTCTTTGTACCTCTGCATTCCCAATCAACAGGCCCTCCATGAGAAGGGTGGTTGAATTGCTTAGAGATCAGAAACCATCTCGACCGTCCAAAATGAGAAGCCTTTGATTCGTTGTTGCATAGCTCAGTAACTCAGTCTATGTGGAAATTTTCAGCAATCATTGTGATAAGTGTAGTACCGGACTGGTGGATCAAAAATTATTCACCCTGGTTTAGATTATGGGTCGTTTTCAGCAGTTATAATGTATGAACTAGAAAAAAGAAAGATCACATATTTATTTTTATCAAGTTTTTGCCTCTTGTACCGCGGATGTTTTTAAAAAAAAAAAATTAGTCTTGCTCGCCATTCTAGACAAACATGAGTTTAGTCAAATTAGATATAACAATGTTATTACTTTAGTAACAATAAATACGAGTTTAGTCGAGTTGGCTATAAAACCTACTCTTTTGTGTTATGTATGTTTCTTTTCTTTCTCCTTTTAGATGTGGGAGAAAATTAAAGAACACTCAAAGAAGCTTAAGTAGGCTCCACAAATACAATCAGATGGAATTTTTCTCACTGAAGTTTGTAAGGTTTGAGTTTAGTCCTCCATATGCTCATATTGAAAGGTAGGGGTGGTTCGGTATGAGATTCGAAATTGAAAATGGGATCTCGAATCTCAATTTGAAAATTTTCGAGACGGAAATTTGAAGACCAATACCAAACTAAAATTTTAGTATTCCCAATTTTCGGTATTCTCGAAATATTTTCGATATTTTGGGATGGTTTGGTATTCCTAAATTTCATACAAATTGAAATAGCAATTATTCATACCAAGTTAAATTAACATGCAACCAAAATAAAATAAGTAACAAACCTAATAAGTTTGACAATTAACAATATAATTTTTTGATTTCGTGTTGAAGAAATAGACACATTTGTGAGAGGTTCATACCGGCAAAAGTGACGATAAAGGGCTATGATTACTATTTGTACACCACACCAATTATATTGCTACTAGTACTTAGCAACAATTCAAATGTATAATATATATATATATATATAATTATTTATTTTCGGTTCGATATGGGATCACCGAAAGATTGAGTAGACAATACTGAATCCTGTACCGAAATTTTAGGATCAGTTTGGTATTTCATCCCAAAAATTTTAAGAATTTTGGTTTGAAACTTTTTTGACTTGAAATCGAAATTTTTTTGTTTGGGTCATGATTTTCGAGAATTTTTTCCAACCCTTTTCAAAGTTACATTTTCCAACTTCCAACAAACTTTGTGTCCGCATATTTTTCTTTTAATAGTGATTTTGGATGTGGTTGGTTGTCCCACTTTCTTTCCATCACATCTGTTAGCAAGTCCACTGTGGGCAATAGACCTGGGGATTGGCAACAATTGCAAGCCAAATGCCCCCTAAAGTCACGCCAGCCCAGTCGGGTAATTGGGCTGAAGGGAGCCCGTAGGAGAGGTCAAGCGGAAGTCTAAGGCTCGAGCGTATGAGAGGGGAGTTATTAAAGAAGGTTATTATTTACTTGAAGGAATTGAATTGCCTATTACCAAGGGGGGTCTTACACACTGAAGTGCTCTAAAGAATTTGTATGCAAAATCTCATTGTCTGTATATTTAAGTGTGCAAGTCAGAATGGTGTTTCTGATTCCGACATTAAACTTTCTTAATGTTAACCTGAAAATTTATGAATTGGAATTTTTCTAAAAAGGTAGAATGAAAATTAGAATTTAGAATTCCTAAATTTTTGAATTTCTGATTCAAAATTTTCTGAACATATTTTGATAAAATTTTTTATTTTTTAAAGTTATTTGCTAAATATACTGTATTTTATAATTAGCTTTTGTATTTTATTGTTAGTTTTAGATACATTTTGTTCATTGTTTTTACATTATCTGATTATATATATATATATATATATATATTGCTATATTCATTCATTACGAGGGTGTCCACGATATCGTTGGGTTAAGCTACCTAATCATGGAGGCATATGAGTGTACAACAAGAGATCTTTAACAATCAAATAGTTGACGGAGGATACTCTATGATATAAGTAAGAATCTCTCGCCAAAATATATGAATATTATTTAGGAAATACGTTTCAAATCACATTCAAAGTAATCATATCGATAGGAGAATCACATTGGATTAAAATATGAATAAACTATCAACTAAACAATGTGATCAAGAGTAATGATATACAAAAGAACCCTATTGCATTGCAATCCCAAACCATATAAAGTTCTCCACTTCTTCTGCTTAAATTTGGGCTCCTATTGTCTTGTTAATTGAGAATTAAGTTTATATAAGAACCCCTAAGGTAGCTACTTAGTTGGTAGTTTTGTTAAACGAGTTAAAATGGTCAAAATATGAGTTAAAATGTCATGAGACTCTTATGGGTTTTCTTATGAGTGTTCTTCATGTTCATCATGTTCTTTATGAGTTAGAGAAAGTGTTTGGATTTGATTCACAAAAGTAGTAGTCAACTTGATAGTGTAAGTTTTTGTGGATCACACTACACTATATCACTATACTTTTGAAATTTTGAGATTTGAAATTCACCAAAAATTTTAGGTTCTTTAACCCTCTATTTGGATGAAAATATTTAAGATTATTAAAGAATTTTAAAATGACAGAATTTTAATTTCTAAAATTTGTGAATTTTCTTATTTGGTTAACTTGAAAAGCAATGAAATTTGAATACGAAATTTGATATTTTTGAACTCTCACCCATAAAAATTTGGAAATTACACTTATTTCCATATAATTTAAACTTGAAAATTGGTGGTCCCATATTCCAAGTTTTTTTTTTTATGAGGAAATTGTAAATTTCTATTTCTATGAATCCAAATAAGGAAATTGGTGGTGCATGTCAATTTATAAATTCTGACTTTTGTCAAAATTTCAAATTTATTTCTCTCATCCAAATATAGTGTAAGGGTTTAGATTCGTGTAAAACTTCATCAAGTTGTTGAAATACATAATTTAGGTAAATAGGTGTCTCTTTGAGGTGCTGTTGCAAACCAATTTTAGAGCATCTCCACTAGTTGGTGGCAAGCAAAGGTAAAGGCAACAATGTTGCCGTCTAACCCAAAAAACCCTTTCTAGTAGTCCAATAAACCAAAGGTAAGTGGTGGGTCAACCACTGCTAGCCCAAGTGTCCAGCCTTCTTAAGCCTAGCCTATTGCCTTTGGGCAAGCTGATATCAATGCACTTTTTAATTTATTTATATATATATATATATATATTTTTTCAGTAAGGTGTGTAGCACACACATCTGGAAAGGAGAGTGGGAGACAAACAGTGCAGCGGTGGGCCACGTTGTAGCAGATAAAATAGAACCCTCCAATGGCTCACTGAAATGGTGAATTGTAAACCATTGGTTTTTCAACGGCAAAAATTTAAAATTATTAACATTGCGCCACGTGGCCCAATATGGTGCGTCCGATTCCAAAATCAATTTGATAATCAACGGCTATAGTTAATCCAACATTAAAAAATTATAAAAAATAGAAAAAAAATCAGGAAAATAGAAAAAAATTATAAAAAAATTGTAATCTTTTTAATATGTTTGTTCTAGGTTGAATGCTCTTAAGAATAAAAAAATTATAAAAAATTGTAATCTTTTTAATCTTTTTAATATTTTTGCGGACGTTTTTTAAAAAAATTAGTCTTGCTCGCCATTTTAGAAAAACATGAATTTAGTCAAATTAGATATAACAATGTCATTACTTTAGTAACAATAAATACAAGTTTAGTCGAGTTGGCTATAAAACCTACTCTTTTGTGTTATGTAAGTTTCTTTTCTTTCTCCTTTTAGATGTGGGAGAAAATTAAAGAACACTCAAAGAAGCTTAAGTAGGCTCCACCAATACAATCAGATGGAATTTTTCTCAGTGAAGTTTGTAAGGTTTGAGTTTAGTCCTCCATATGCTCATATTGAAAGGTAGGGGTGGTTCGGTATGAGATCCGAAATTGAAAATGGGATCTCGAATCTCAATTTGAAAATTTTCGGGACGGAAATTTGTAGACCAATACCAAACTAAAATTTTAGTATTCCCAATTTTTGGTATTCCCGAAATATTTTCGATATTTTGGGATGGTTTGGTATTCCCAAATTTCATACAAATTGAAATAGCAATTATTCATTCCAAGTTAAATTAACATGCAACCAAAATAAAATATTTAACAAACCTAATATGTTTGACAATTAACAATATAATTTTTTGATTTCATGTTGAAGAAATAGACATATTTGTGAGAGGTTCATACCGGCAGAAGTGATGATAAAGGGCTATGATTACTATTTGTACACCACACCAATTATATTGCTCCTAGTACTTAGCAACAATTCAAATGTATAATATATATATATATATAATGATTTATTTTCGGTTCGATATGGGATCATCGAAAGATTGAGTAGACAATACTGAATCCTGTACCGAAATTTCAGGATTAGTTTGGTATTTCATCCCAAAAATTTCAAGAATTTTGATTTGAAACTTTTTTGGTTTGAAATTGGAATTTTTTTTGTTTGGGTCGAGATTTTCGAAAATTTTTTCCAACTCTTTTCAAAGTTACATTTTCCAACTTCCAACAAACTTTATGTCCTTGTATTTTTCTTTTAGGGAAAATTTGAAATAGGTCCAATTTTATAGACTATCTTTTGAAATAGGTCCAATTTTTAGTGACTTTTGACTTTTGAAATAGGTCCAATTTTTAGTTACTTTGGACCTATTTCAAAAAACCCCTTTCTTTTAATAGTGATTTTGGATGTGGTTGGTTGTCCCACTTTCTTTCCATCACATCTGTTAGCAAGTCCACTGTGGGCAATAGACCTGGGGATTGGCAACAATTGCAAGCCAAATGCCCCCCTTAAAGTCACGCCAGCCCAGTCGGGTAATTGGGCTGAAGGGAGCCCGTGAGAGAGGTCAAGCGGAAGTCTAAGGCTTGAGCGTCTGAGAGGGGAGTTATTAAAGAAGGTTATTATTTATTTGAAGGAATTGAATTGCCTATTACCAAAGGGGGTCTTACACACTGAAGTGCTCTAAGGAATTTGTATACAAAATCTCATTGTTTGTATATTTAAGTGTGCAAGTCATAATGGTGTTTCTAATTCCGACATTAAAGTTTCTTAATGTTAACATGAAAATTTATGAATCGGAATTTTTCTAAAAAGGTGGAATGAAAATTAGAATTTAGAATTCCTAAATTTTTGAATTTCTGATTCAAAATTTTCTGAACTTATTTCAATAAAAAATTTTATTTTTTAAAGTTATTTG